TTTTTGTCTTTGTTGAACTCAGTTTATACGTTATCATAATGGTTGTTTTAAAATTACACAAAATAAAATGAGTATTTGGAAATTATCTGAAGAATTCAGTAAGTCTTTCTCAGTGAAATGTATTTGAAGTCCAAATAGTTTTCTATAGTTTGTCAGTTGTCTATTTGGAATTGAGAATAATCCTTCCATAGAAAAAGAATATTCTAAATAATAATTGAGTTGTGATGAGAAATTGATAGAAATTATATTCTAATGTTAGTAAGAGAAAAATCAATATTTATTATATGTTTTAAATGTTTATGATTGGCATATCCTAGATTCTGACACTCTTCCCAGTCAGCCAAAGGTAGTTTCTTACTTTGCAAATTCTTCATCTCCTCGGAAAATCCCTTAATCATCTCTTAATCATTTCCCTGGGGAAATGGATCATCTCACATTTTCCCCTGAGTTGACAGAAGGAATTTATAATCTGAAGTACAACTGGGTTTGGACGTGGGCTAGACACTTGAATATGAAGTTCTAATTTTATAAGACAGCTGATGAACAAAGAATAAGAATAGGAAATAAAGGAAGAAGGAGACAAGAAAGATTACCTTGTATTTTAGTAGTAGTAGGCATGCTGCCTGGACTGACTTGGTATTTAGTTGAGGCAAAAGGAAAGTGGTTTGGCCATCTTGAGAATGCTTATGGTGCAGTCCCTGGGTTGAGCAGGAAGCTAAAACCAGAACATACATGTCCTTAATCCCTCACCTCAGAGCATTCACTCTCTCAACAAGTCAGAATAAAACAAACAAAAAAGGAATGAAATGATCTATTTATTGCCCAATATACACATCTACTCACACTTCTGTAATGACCTTACTGTGAACACTTAAATAGCAATGTTAGGGTTTCATATTTGTAAAACATTCCATAGCTGATAATGGCTCTTTTATATCTAATTGGATGCTTGAACTAAATCTATAAGTTAAGTAAGTCACATATTGTACACTCTTTGCAGATAAGAAAATTAAAAAAAAATATTATTTATTCAAGGTTATGTGACGAGTAAATAGCAAAACTCAAAAGTAAGTGAGAAATTTCCCTCTCACTGTCTTGTAGGCTCTTCCCTCTGTATATATCACACTGCTTCTCATAAATCGGGCATCTGAATCTTCACAATGCCTGTTAACTGCCTGGAGGATGAAGGCGATGTCTTCAATTTCTCCTGTTGCTGTTTGTAGTCTGAGTGCTCACAGTGAAGCCCCAGCAGGAATATTTGTTAACTGAGAAATGGGTTTGACATCATGGCAAGAGGAGGACTTGGCATTAGACAGAACAAATCCCAGGCTCAGTCATATGCTGGCTGTGTGATGTTGGGCAAGTTGTTTGATCCCTGAACCTAATTTTATCATCTATATAATATGGTGAAAAATTCTACATAGCAGAAGTTCTGTGTGAATTAAAAATAGTATTCATAAAGATCCCCGATTAGTGGCTGCCACATAGAAAATGCCCACCTTTCAACAACAGCTATGGATCTTACTGCTGGCCTTTGTCCTACTGCCTTCCTCATTTTTTTTTTTCCTGTGGGAGTGTGTGTTTGCTGTGTTTTGTGTGTTTTTCACCTTAAAAAAATGTAGTGTCAAGGTTTAGAATGGACATCCCATTCTGCCTAGGCAACATCCTCATACCAGACTCTGAATTCTGAGGAACTGGATGCCAGGGAAATACGGAGATCTGTAGTGTTATTCATTTCTTGTCCTCTTTGGTCAGGTAGTTAATTTATAAACAACAGATCCAGGAATACTCTTTAGAGGAAATATCTGACTTCATGGGTGTGCTCAGAAGTCAAAATTGCCTCTGCCTGAACCAGTATACATTTGGAAACTTGAAACCTGAAACTAAAAAATTAATCTTGAATTTTGTTTGTGGTATTTGCAAGTGAAGTTACAATTGTTTATTCATGAAGTTCTCTGAAGCTATTAGATGTGGCAGAACTAGATATTGCCCCATTTTATTTTAAGGTAGTCTCAGTTTTGCATTATTTTATTTTTTATTTTTATCAAAGCCTTGAATCTTATTGGTTAGCTTTAAACATCATGTTTTTTAGATTAATAAAATATATCTTTGGAATGAAAAATCATTTTCTGGAGAAATGTTTTCTGAGCAATCCTATAAATTTCAAAGATTCCTCCTTTTGGGTATGGTATCATTTTGAATTCTCTTCTTAGTATTTTTCTTGCATTCCAATAATGGGTTTGCATAAAATGATTCCCATGTTTTAATTTGGTACGTTAGATGATTTCTTATGCAGGGTCACTACTCTGTTCTGAGGATGTTTTCTTGGGCCTACAAGTAAGCTGGAATTTTACTCTTAAATTGGCAATGTTTTAAATTTAGGAGGCCAATTTTCCTGGTTTTGAAATGAAATAATTTTCTATTTTTAAAATAAGGCTCATGAATTACTATTTTTCTATTGGGATCAGAATCTTCTCTTTGTGTCTAATGGCCCTGAGCATTTTATTCTATGATTGTGTGTTCTTCACAGAGTATTCCATGGTTCTGTAATACACTATACTAGCACCCACCATTTCACATGTGCACATTGAGGAAATTAAGTTGAAGATTTCAGAATTTTCTTTATAGGTTTCAGGCACTAAGAAAAAACCAAGGAGGGATATTTTGAAGATACTTTCATACTCAGGTCTCTTTTCTTCAGTACTAGGAAAATGCACTGGATAGCTAGTCAAAGAGGTACAATTCCCTTTCCCATTTATCTGGAAATAATTATTTACTGAGGAGATATGTGCTCAGTGGAAGAAAGGTTTGGCAAATGGTACATATTCTTTAGTTCGTTGATGTTGGGAGCATATGTTAGTGATCCTGTAATAAAAAGCATATGCTCAAACAGTGGTTACTGTGTGTGTGGGTAGGAACTATTCTTATACAATATTATTGTCATGGGCGGGGCTTCATTTTGAATGGTAATGAATTTAAACCAATACACAAGTTCTGTAATGATATTTATGAAGATTTAGTTCAGCACTAGGAATATGTATTTGTTAAAATATAGAAGCTTGGAATTCGATTGTCCTTACTTAGAGGTCAGCTTTGGTAAACTTCTAGAGTAAATATATGGTAAAACTAGTAAAACTAGTGTTAAATAATTTGAATGAAGGTAGCAACTAGAGAAAGATAAAGAAAAAACTAAACTACTTAGATATATGCACATTACCTGATGAGTTGATATCATGTGAATTTTGTAACTTTAGGAATTCAAGAACTATGTTAGTCACTATAGAATTCGAAATGCTGTATGCGTTAAATGTTAACTTTTAATTATAAATGTAAGTCAACACATTCATTCACACTTTAGCTCTCTTCTTACAACTTATTTTCACTAAAAATCACTAAGGAGAAAAATTCCCCTAAAATAGTGTGATTTTTAAAAATAAGGTGCATGTATTTATTCTTTTTAACTGGTAAATATCAGAGCAGTTATAGTCTTATTTCATCTGAATGGAAATCTCTTATTTCCATGAGAGCTTTAAGAATTTAGGATTTGAGCATTTGCTGTGGCATATGGTGCATTTTCTGTCCTATTTTGTATACCAGCCCATTAAGAAGAGAAAGTGAAGTAACTAATCTAAAAATAACTCTGCTGTTGGCCTAATTTAACAACAACAAAAAAAGTCTTCTGTGCATAAGTAAAGTTCCACATTTCCCTGGTGGAAAATCTCTGAAGCATTTTGCCACCTATTCACAGAACAACATCTTGTTTGGCATCATAATTGCAGCCAGAAGGACTATTTTGACTTTTTAATAGTTATTTGTGCTAGCCCTTGTCATTGTGTAAACTTTGTCAGTCCAAAGAGACCCACCTTACCTGATGGTTACAGGTCAGCCACCCCTCAAGTCACATAGGCATACACATTTTTTTCAAAACACATTCATTTTCACAAAACTTACAATCTTCAATTTAAACTAGTGTTTTAAAAAGTCATATACAAAGTGCATGTTAAAATTAATCACAAGTTTTATAGTTCAAGAGATCTTTACCTATTCAACTCAATTTAAATTGTCTTATTGGACATCTTAAAAATAGTACCAGCTTTTAAGATGGAATACTTTTAATGAGTTTCATCTTTACCTTTTTCTTTGGTGATTTGTACCTTTTTATTTAAATTATTTATATTCTTCAGATTAAAGTTTTAATACTTCTCAGCATCTTCTTGTCTTGTTCATCAAAACACTTGGGGTAGAAACCAGAAGATGATAATTCTTCAAACTTTAAGATTTTAGGCATTTTGAACACTTGTATGATAATACAGTCAATACTGATTAGAGGTACAAAGTACATCTATGGAACATCAATAGCAAAATGAGGCAGTTCTTCCTGTTGAGGGAACTAATTGGCCCTGATGTTTTTAAAGGTTTTTGTACTTAAATTCAAAGGAGTTTTTATTCCTTCCATAAGAGCTTTAAGAATTTAGGAGTGAGCATTTGCTGTGGCATATGGTGCATTTTAAATTTTAAAATACTTTTGAATCCTACATAAGCATTCATTCACTGATATGTTGGACTAGTATGAGCTTACAAAACCCGTAAAGGATATTTTAGCTCTTTAGATAAGATATGGTATAGAGAGAAAAGAAAGTTTGCTAAAGAATAACATGATTGTACAGGAGAAAAGAATAAGCCCTTATTCTATATAATAAATGTTGTCTGAATGCTTACAATATCCATTATAATCATATATTGTATATGTAGTCTGGGACCTTAAATAACTAAGGAATTCTAGCCAGTGTTTATTCCTCTTAAGGATATATTGCTATGGTAGATTGTTAAATTAATGGCCTGCAGTGTATCACTCTTCTCAGTGTCTATACCTTTGCAAAGTCCCCTCTCACAGTGACTCTCGCTTGTGTATGTGGTTGATTTTGGGAAGCAGGACATAAGCAAATGTGATGCACATAGAGAGTTGATAAATGTTTGCATACTGAATCTTGCCTACTTAGATGCTGCTGTCACCATGTGAAGAAGTGGCTTACCTTCCTATAAGATGAAAGACCACATGGTGAGATCTAGCCTGTTAAAGGTCCAGAAGGTCATATGACATCTGCCCTCAGCTGATCTACCTGGTGAATGCAGCTGCATGAGTAAGCCCCCACCAGGTTAGTAGAGGACCCACACAGAACTCACAGAATTTTGAGATATAATTTGTTATTTAGTCTGTTAAGTATTGGGGTTGTTTATTATGCAGCAATGGCTAAAAGGAACCTACCCAGATACATGATTCATTTAGAAAGTCAAAACAATGAAAGATATCTAACCTAGGACTTAGTGACCTATAGTTAAGATCCTACTTTGTCTCTGAGATTCCTGGTAGTTATGTTGGAATGAAGTAAGTTATAGAATATCTATTTTGAAAAAGAAAGAAGTATAGCAGTTTTCAGAAAATCCTTTTTTTGAACTAAATGTGAAGCTATCCATGGGTGTAATAAGTAATACATGGGGCTGTATCCTTGATCACATTTCAGCAACAGATTTTCTTTCTTATTTCTGTGTAGCCCAAAGATCTGTCATCAAAGCATAGCACTGTGAACTTGATCATGAGAGGGACAAAGGTTTATAATACTCTTCTTTATTTCATTATTACATAATTACTTATTTGAGTTTAATTATTTCCAAAGTTTCAGTGATGTCTTTTGTAACAATAACTACACATTTTTTGTTTTTAGTTCCTCACTTCTCCCTTATGCTACAGATTCCAACAGTTTTCAGTGCATTTCTTCCTGGATACTCTTTCTTCTGTGACTGTCTTGGTTGAAATGTAAAATAGTGTGTTATTTCAAGGTTAAATTGTGTTACTTATAGTTCTATGTTGCCTTATAGTTATTGATGTTCAACTTCCAAAATGAACCTAACAGTGATGATTGGTGGACTTGAGAGTGTTTACCTAAATGTTGAAGTTTTATCATTCTAACACTTTGACTTGTATTAGAGAATCAGTGATTGAAAACAGTAACTAAATAAAAATGTTGAAATTATGGAAGAAATAAAATAAAGGATAGAATTCCCTAAGCAGTTGAAAATCATAAACCAGTGTGAAACAGACAAAAACATAATGTTTATAATTGTTTTGTTTTCCTGGTGAATGATTGGACACTAAGTATCCATACAACTTCCTAAAATTCCACTTCAATATACTTTTCTCCATCTTTTAATACTACTGTGTCTGAGACACTCTCAGCTCTTGTTGACCAAACATAGTATTCTTCCAAAATTTGTTTTAACTATACATATATCTGATATACAACTTTGCCTATTTTCTTTATTCCCCTGCTATATCAGTGCCAAACAGAGCACAGGCACATGGTAGTACATGTTTGCTGAGTGATAGAATGAATTCTTCACAACACTTTAATATTTCTCGTGTAGATTCTTTAACATGACAGCCAGAATGGTGTTTATAAAGCAGTTATTTTCCTAACGTCCCTGTGGTTATAGTGACTCCTCATATCCCTTAGGGAAATGAACCAAAATCTTTCGGTTACAAATTTTGGAGTCATAAATTTCAAAATACACACAGTGGCTCCTATAAATCCTGTAGAATATGAAGAGACAACAAAAGACCAATTGGAACAAATTCAGATGCCATTTGCAGAGTGAACCTTGTGACCCTGGGGCCTGTGGGTTGGCCCTGTCCCATGGGTGTGTAAGGTCCTCTGGGGAGTTATCCAGTACTGGGCCAAGGAATCTATTTGGGATTCAGAGTGGCAGAAGATGCAGTTGCAAGTTAAGAAAACTGCCATCCTTTGTGGCTTATAATGACTTTCTGTACTTTCAGCCATTTTTCTGGACTTGGTTTTTGCTACCTAGAATAAAGAAAAGTCATAAAATACAGTAATAGATGGAATTCAGAAGTGATAAAGGGAAAGGAAGGTTAAGAAGATTAGAATATTATTAAAATTAGAAATCAAATTAAAAATTTGAAAACATTTGAGACATTGAGGGTAGTAGCTATAAAGAAGTTAAAAATGATAGCTATTAATGAGAACAATAGCTGAGAAGAGATTAGGACTACAATTCCAGAAAATAAGGGTAAAAGACTAAAAATGTGATAATTTGAAAAATGAAAGCTCAAAGTCAAGTAAAACAAGCAAAATTAACAGTAAAATATGTCACCTTAAAATTTTAAATGCATAGGGAAATTACTAGTAATTAATGTAGAAGAAAAGTGACTAGCAGCGATGTGAGAAAATTTGGATAGGTGAGTTGTTTTCATAAGAGAATTATCTAAAATTTTGGCCCTTTTGTCTCCCATTACTCAATGGCACATATGCCTTCCACACTCTGCATCCTCTGAATCTCAATTCCCAGCAGATTATCCTTTGGGGAATACATATTGGGGCTGGGACAGCCTCAACCCAGCTCTGCTGTTTCTTTTTTATAGTGCATATACTCAGTGTAGATCTCAGCCACTCAGCCATTGCAGTCTCCTGCATCATAATTATTCATCCCCTAAGCCTGGTTGGTGAAACTAATTTTATAGTCTGTAAATGAAAAATCATAATTTGGTTTAACAAATGTAGGTTCTACTTTGGGGCAGGCCACCCTATTTTCCCTTATTTATTATGATAGTTTTATAATAATGAGTGCTGAATGCTATCTGGATGCCTGTAATAATATACATTGTAATTGTAACATATATTGTTACATTGTAACACTAATTGATAAATTAAGATATGTTGTTATCCAGTGTTTATTATCTGAGTTGAGATTAAAACTGGAATCTTTTGAATTCCAACATAGTTCTCTTTATACTGTAGTATTTTCCCATATTTCCACTTACTGTTTCTTGGGTTCACAATGGTTGAATGTTTTGTAACATTTATGAATAAGAATGACAAAAAAGCATGTGGAGTTTTAATAGAAATTATGCTCTCATTCCAGATTATGAATGAATTAATAGAGAGTTTATGTCACTCATACTGTCCTTGTGCATAATTTCCTATTCTGTGTGAAATTTGTCATCATTAAACCATGATTTTGAAAATGGGAAAAATTAATGGTTTTCAAAATGACTGAAGATAGAAAAAATATGTGATAAAGCTAGGAACAGACAGGTATACTAAATGACTGGTTATATATCACCCTAGAATTTTTTTGAGTACCTCTTTCTTTACCTAGGCAGAATCAAGCTTTGAAAAGGTCTTGACAGGCACAAAAGTTAATATATTATTTTACTACACCATAAGTACAGTTAAAAAGGTTTGCCCAGAATGCTATAGAAAGACAGAGGAGGGGCAATTATTTCAGAATGAGTGAAGGGAGGGAGAGAGATTTCTCAGAGGAGTACCCTGAATTTTTACAGATAGTATGACTTAGGTACAAAAGTAGGAAATGAAAGTCATGCTGGTTTTTTAGAGCAATGATTCTCAAAGTGGTTGGCCACTGATTGGCAAGAAAGAATATTTTAGAATTAAGTTAATCTCCAAATGCATGCTTTCATTCTCATGAGAAAAATAAACAACACATAGGATTTTACTTTCATGTATTAATAATGACTACTTTTTACTAATAATCTCAGTTCATTGCAAAGACTTACTAAAATATAGCATTTGTTACCAACATTCACATTTTTACTAGAGTCTACTGAGATTCTAATATTAGAAATTAGAGTGTGATGAAGTACTTGGTTTTTGAGTATGTAGACCTAGAAAAACAAGTGACTAAAATTATGATTTCTCACAGAATATTTTAATATCGGTAATTAAGCCAAGCTATCTTAAGTCCATCTTTATGTTTAACTGTTGCTATCTTACTTATGGATTATAAATTATTTAGATTCATCATTATAACTTTTTTTAGGATTAGCCCTTTATTGATGTTTAGTTATTCATATTTCTACACATAATATTTTTGTAATGCAATACCTATCAAAATTCCCATAATATTTTTTAAAGGAAGTTGAACAAATAATTTTAAAAATGTGCATAGAACCCCAAAACACTCGGAATAGCTGAGGAAATCATCAGCGAAATGAGGATACATGGAGGTAGCACATACCCTGACTTCAAAACTATACTACAAAGTGATTGTAATGAAAACAGTATGGTATTAGAACAAAAAACAACACACAAATCAATTGGACAGGATAGTTAAAAAGTAACTCCACACAATATGGATAGTTGGTCTTTGACAGAATCCATGACCATATAATAGCTAAAGGAAAACTTCAACCAATGGTGATAGGAAACTTGGACAGCCACATATAAAAAAAATGAAAGTACATAATTATTTAAATTCATACATAATTCAAAATGAATTAAAGACTTGGATATAAGACCTGAAATCATTAAAGAAAACAGTGATGCACTTCTGGATATCAACCACAGATATGTGTTAGGGAACTCAGCTCCAATAGCAAGTGAAACAAAAGTAAAAATAAGTCAATGGGACTACATCAAATAAAAAGGTGCTTGTATATCTTAACAGTTGCTAAATTATGAGTCTGAAGTCAACCATGGGTCATCTTCAGAACATCTCAGAATTGACATGAATCAGAGATACTCAAGCATTCCTAGACCCCAGCACCATGAATTCTAATTCATGTGTGAGACCTTATAATTAATGTTTCTAATAAATTTCCAAGTAATGCTGTTGCTACTGATTTTCCAAACGTACATTAAATGGACTTGACTTGTATTATTCCTTTTAAAGCAGTTGTGTGAAAACATTCCTATATGGTGGCATCTCTTATCTAGTTCTTTTCTCCTGGAAGTTAACGGTACATAGTTAGTATGAGTAGGTAGCTGGACAACAGATTCTCAGTTTAGTTTGGCCAGCTTCAGTAATTTATGTAGAAAATTGAGAACCTCTGATCTTGAACAAATGCAAAAACGTAAGTTGATTAATGTTGCTCACATATCACATGCTGGAGCAATGGGGGTAGGTCTGTGTGGCTCAAACATTATGTGCTAGGAGAACTCAGGGTAAATGAGGCTAGAGAAATTTACTGGATTATTTTGGGTTTTGTATACCATACTGAATAATTTCATTTATCCTGATGACAGTAGTAAACCATTGGAGCATTTGAAATGAGAGTTAGGCATAATCAAAAAATAAAAGTTAGGGGCCTCCCTGGTGGCGCAGCAGTTGAGCACTGGGT